CACTGGAGAGCACCGCGCTGGATCCACCGCAAAATCGCACATGCGCGCCTCTCCTGCGGGCGCTGTGAGTTCGTGGTCTTCGCCAACATATTTGTAACAGCCCGAGCAGATCGTCGATGCGCCTACGTGGGCATTGCAGCCGTCTCGCGATGGAGTCGCGCTCGTCGACAGTGCGGTTGGTTGCCAGATATTGCAGCGTTTCCTCCTTCGACGCCACCGCTTCGATACGTCGCTGGTTTGCCGCGCCTCTCCTGCTCGCGCGCGCGACGACGCTCGAAGATGCGTCGAACCAAGGACGAGTAGACGAACTCAAAACCCTGCGCGCGACCGAGAGCGTGTATCCAACAGGCAAATCATACCAGGCGCGCCAGTTTACGACGCATGGGGCCCATTGCACCGTCGCCAAACACCCGCATGGCAGCGACGCGAGCGCGCGCTGCGTCTTTTTGGTCCACCGCGGCGCAAGACAGCGGCAAGCGACTTGGGCTGTCATGCTGAGAGCCTTGCCGACTGAACGGCCGCCTGCTACCAGCTGCCTTCCGGCCTAAGACGCCGGCGCGATCCTACCGAGCGCTTTGGGGGGCCATTCTTGTTGTTTCCCGCGTGCATCGTCGGTCCTTCAGTTGCCGTTTAAGAACTGCTGTCTTGAATACAGCATAGCGGCTCCTTTGTGCGATGTTATTTCCCTTTCGCTTCGCCTTCCGATCCGGCGGTGCATGTCGTTTCCCATCTCTGTGGAGCTTGACTACGTTGTCGTTTTTCTCTTTCGGGCGAAGGCGGCGCGGACGCAAGCCTGGCCACCCGCGTCGGGACATGCTGGAACCCGGCGTTGATTGCCAATTGCCCGAGCAGCATCGCGATCAACCGCTTTCAGAGACTGGCGCTGCACCTCCCGCTGGAACTCCTGCCCGTGGATGGAAGGCAAGCTCATCTGGCCTTTCAAGCCACTGGGCAGCGCTTCGCGAATAATGCCCACGTTCTTCCAAGCTGCTGGACTTGCGACACAAAGCGATGTTGCATATTTGCGGAGGTCGCCCCATGATCATGTCTCCGATCTCGCCAAAACTAGGCGCCGAACAGGCATCCCCACGACACTGACCGCGGCCACTCGGATACCCCATCGTTTGGCAGAGTCTCGGGCCGTCGGGCAATTACAGCCTTGCTCTTATCTTGCATGGAACGCGCTATTGCCGTCTGCAGCTCGGCATTGCTCTTCCGAGGCTCTGGGCCTGAGACGCCGAGGCATGCTGCGAACTGCAAGCGGCGGCGCCAAGCTGTCAGAGCCGAGCCCCTCACCGTGCCCATCCGAGCCCCCCCTGAGATTGCGGCCCGCCTGGGATGAGCTGGCAGAGCCTGGCTTCAAACGAGTTTGCACAGACTGCCCCTGGAGCCGCGCCTCGAAGTCAGCTCGTATATCCGAGCATGTCCAGAAGGTTGTCGCTCCTTTGTTCCCCGTTGGAGTTCCACTGGGTTCTGCGTAGTCCTTGAGTTCCTGCTTCTTCATCTTGCCTACACTTCGGCCAGACATGGCTGCCCGCGCGGGCGGGCGAGGGTGCCGCAATGGCCCAGATGAAGTCCCCGCGCGGTGTTCTAATCCGGAATGTTCTACATGCAAGGAGTAGCGTTGTCCCCCCAGGACCCCGATGTAACACATACAACGTCAGTCATTCGGCATCGTTGTATCGGTTTTCCCGATGCGATCTCACTCATCGACCACCCTCCACTAGGTCACAGTAGCCAGGTTGACCCAAAGGGGGGTCCAGCGACAAGGAGGTGGTGCAATAGATTTGGTGCAATAGATGTGTGGGGTTGCAATACCTTTGGGGCGTGCAATACATTTCGGGGCGCAAATGTGTTGTTGTATTTTTGCGTGCATTCCAGTGCAATACAACTGTTTGACGCGATAAATTTGCAATACAATTGCCCCAAATCTATTGCACCACCCCCTTTCAGCTGGACCCCCTTTTGGGTCACCCCAAAGTAGCCACCGCATTACCGATCTCACTGCCGAGTTCACTATCGATTGGATTACTCATGGAACCATTGTTGCAATCGAAATCAAACGAGGCTTTCACAAAACAGCTTAACAGAAAAGCTTATCCGCATGTGCACATGGACTCCACACTGTTCCCCGCGATCGACCACGCGACGACGCCATCGAGCTCGCGATGGGGCATGGAGGCAGTGCTGGGGAAACACTCGCGGTGATATAAGCAACGTTTCGCCACCGCCTGTTCGAAAATGAGATTCCTCTGCATCCACCGCGTCACGGACTGGCGCTGTCGGCATCCGACGTTGGCAAACACAGACTTGTAGCGGCAATCCTTTTTCGGTTTTTTATACAAAGAATATTCGGAGCGCTGCCAGGTCGCCGCAGTGCAGCGTTGCGCTGGCAGAGCCTGGCGCTGGCAGTGGCACTGCTCGCTTTGGCCGGGTCTTGCAAAGCAGCGGGCGCACCGTCGGACGACGCGAGGGGTGAGAGCGGCTCCGACGCAAGGCGCTAGACTTTCCGCTCGCGGCCCTCGGACCAGTACTCACCAGCAGTGTCCCTGGGCGATTGGGTAGGCGTGGGCGTGCCCGCAGAGCCCGCTGGCGGATTCGCCAGGACGGCCTACCACCTCCACCGCCAGACTGCGCGCGAGCGCAGTCACTTCGTCCTTGGGGCAATTTTGCCCGGCGCTCGATTGTAGCAGTCGGGGCCTCTCTGCCGACAGAGCCTGGCGTCCTGCATGTGGCAGCCGATGCGAGAACGAGAGCACACTTTTTGTCCAAGGGGTGCGCGAGCATCCCACTGAAGTCACAATGGCCCACCAAATGCAGAGCCGCAGGCGGATCGCTCAAAGGCAGAGGGCGTCTGTAGACGGCACCGCGCGCGTCTGCTCAACCAGCTCCTTCTGCTCGCTCAGCGGCTCCAGGTTAGTAGCGGTCGTGCCGCGCACTTGCAGGAGTTTTCGGTAGGCGCCGATGATGCTCTGCTTAGCCCCTCGGAGAGCGAGGCACAATAGAGGACCCTCAACCACGTGGCCCACTGGCACGGGACGTGCGACATCCGCAGTCACCGCCGAAAGACCGCGGCAAAGCCGTGCAGCTGTCAGCGACGCAATGGTGGTGAGAGGCGCAGTGGTTACCTCCGCGATGTACATCTTCGCGAAACCATTCTTGCTCCAGACAACCCTGCGAACGTTGAACCGCTCCTTGGCGCCTGTCAGAGACTGGTCGCTGAGCTGCGAGGCCACCTCTTCGGACGTGAAGCACTGAAGCAGCACACCCTCGAACGTCCGCGTCCATCACCCCCTGTTGCCATTGTCCGATTATGTAGGGGACGACCATACAGATGTTATGGCCTTCCCTCGTTTTCGCTTTGTTGAGCCTCCTAGGGGCCTGTACTCGTCACCACGGCTGGATTCGCCTCGGGGGAGGACGCTTCCCGGGAGAGGTCCGGGGAGTATAGTTACTCGATGCATTTGGGCGTCGCGTAACGAGGGGGGGGGGGTCAGCGGGGGCTGCAGGAAAGGAGCCCTTGAGGGCGCCTGAAGGGGCCCTTCAGGGCCCAAAAAGGGGCAGGTAGGGCCCGAAAAGTGCGCCTTTCTCCCGCCCCCCATTGACGGCCGGACCGAAGTATAAGATCGAGGTCGGTCTGGGAAGGGTACCCTGATGTTGTTCGTGCTTGTTGGATACTCTTGTGCACCCTGTTGAGGGTACCCTTGGATGTTCTGTTTGTTTTGGCCGACGGAGGGTCCCGTGTTCTTGGGGGATGTTCTTCTGGCGTAGATCCGACCTGTACCGCCCCCCCCCCCCCCACGAAGCGACGCCCAAGTACAGTCAGCAGATGCATGGTCGCAAGAGCGCGGTCAAGAGCACGAGCACCCTTTCGCCGAAGGCCCAGGGCCCCATGGAGATGCCCAGAGCGAGAAGCATGCCCAGGCGTGGAGCCTCACCACGAAAAGCACTGGGGTGCCCCCAGGAGGTCTTTAGTTTTGGGGGCCCCGCCCAGGAGGCCCTTAGTAGGACGAACGGCACCAGGGGACGAAATGTAGCAGGACCCCCCCCAGGAGGACGAAAAGCACTAGGGTGCCCCCAAGATGTCTTTATTTTGAACCCCCCCCCCTGTCTCCTTCGGCGGGGAATACACTCCGCCCCTCCTCCTCGTCCTCCTCCTCTTTCCGCCCTCCTCCTCTGTCGTTGTTGTGCGGCGGGGGGCGCAGATCTTAGTTTTCCAGTATTGGTGGGACCCCAGGCCGTTAATGAGGGCGTCGAGATGAAAACTGAGTTTCCGCTTCCACGATTTTCTGGAGAGGTCTAAAGACCTATCGCGGATAAACATCCAAAGCTAGAGAAGTTCTTGACCCCCTCCCCTGAGATCCGACGTTGAGAAACAGTTGCAGCACCGCTAAAAATCACGACTGAAGCCCGCGACCCCATCTTTCTTTGACATTTCCCGAGCTGGATCGACCTGAGACTGTCCTGGGGCCCGAGACTTGGCGAGAGCGCCTTGTGTGGTAAGATTGCAACGCCCGAATCTCATGGACATCTAGGGCTGCTCTTGAACCCCCTCGTGCCAGCTGCAGCCGTCTCGATGTCTTTCCTGTCCCCCCCAGGATCAGGGGCAACGTTAGGTGGGGTTAAGCTCAGGCCGGCATGCATCGTTTCACAATCGTCCATCGATCGCCGTGAGGGGCCCGATAGCCCTCCCCGCCCAGGCGCATGCGGACTCGCTATCGGGGGCCTGCCGCCGATATGTTGGCAATTGATCGCCGATTCCGGCTCGATGTTTCCCCCGTGAGCTGGCCCCTTAGTGGTTTCCGCGTCGCAGCCGTGCGGGACGATCCAGTGACCCCCGGAACGCTCTTGGCGAGGCGCAGCCGCTGGAGAGCACCTCGATTCTGGAAAGCCGCCTGGAACCAACGAAGACGCCAGAATTTTGCAGACAGGTGGCGAAGGCGCCTCTGCTCCCCCCGTGACGTTCCCGCTCGTCTTCTGCCCGCCCCCCCCCCCCAGAGGCGTCTGCGCATTCGGTGCGGTCGCCGGCACCGCGGCGCTCGCGTGTGGCCAGGTCTCGCGCAGGCTCCGGCAGGGCGGCGGGTGCAGCAAGAAGCTGCACGTGTGAGGGCCGTGCTTGGGAGCTCCTTCTCGGCCGTCCATCCTCGGCCTCCTTGTCCTCCTCTCGAAGGAGAACAGCGCTCCGTGCGCTGAAGCCGCGCAAGCGGGACGATGTGATGCCCACGCCAGGGGCAGGATCGACCCAACCTCCCGAGGGCAACCGCCGTGCGCCTTCGAGGTAAACGGTGATGTGCCCGCCTGCCTCGCCCTGGCTCCCTTGCGCCTCCGTGGAGCCGTTTTTTTGCGGTGCATCGATTCTGGCCAGCTCGATCCGATTCGATGCCGATGTTCCGGCGGCCCGGTGCGTCCTTCGTTTGCATGTCGTTGTTGTGCATCTTGGCGCAGCCGATCTGATTCGTTTCGTTCTTTCTCTCTCTCTCTCTCTCTTTCTCGCGCCCTTGCCTCCCTCCTCATCCACCCCGACTCCGTCCGTTCTCCTCATTCCTCTCAGCATGATCCTCTCAAGCTTGGTGATTCTAGAAGATGTGTTGTTGGCTTTGCGATTGCCTGATGCTGAGGTTGCTTCAATTAAGCCCAGGACAGTGGTGAATGGGATAGGCAGGAGATTGTGTGGGTCCGTTGTAGAGCAGTGGAGTCGGCAAAGCGTGCTGCGTTGCAGTGGCAGTTGGGGTGGCTTCAACAGCCGTCCCTTGGGCGTAAGCTTACACTTCACGGTTGCCCACATCAATTCAGTATTGTTGTGTTCGTGCCGTGCTCTTCGTGGTGGGTTGGGCTGTGGAGTTTCACAGCAAGGTGGAGGGACACAAGGTTTTTCAACGTTGGCTAGAGTGCGTCTTTTCTAGCAGAATTTTGGAGCTCATGTGCAACATGGCGAACACCCTCCTACACAAGTGATCCTTGTACGGCTGGCGGAGTGACAGAACGCATCAATGTGCCGCTCATCTTGCTGGCACGGGGTCTTCGATTGCCTCTCGTTTCTCTCGGTGCCGGTCAAGTTGAGAGGTGGCTGGGGTACACAGTATGACACCGCCATTGCGTCGACTCGAAAAAACACTCCATGCGCCCTCCATCCTCCCTCAGCGCCTCCTGCGCCCCCCCAGATTTCCCCCCTGCGCCACTCTCGGTAGGCAGTAGCAGGTGATAGTTGGAGGCCGACGAGCTCCCATTGCCCGATTCCGATCCCGATTCCGATCCTCCTCCCCTCCCCCCCTGTCCCCAGACGTGCGACGTCCTGATTTTTTCAATGCACGGTCCCCGGAAGTCCCGACCCGTTCCCTGTGGTCGGTTCTTCATCCCGAGTCGTTTTTCAATAATCCGGGGGCCGTGCGAGGGCCCCCGCAGAGGCCGAACGCGACCAAAAACCTCTGGTCCCAAAGGGCAAGGGGCAAGGGCAGTGATCGGGTGAAGAGAACTATGCACTTGCACCGATCCTGACAACGTCCATCCTTGACCCAGGATCGGTGCAGATACCTTCCTGGCCAAGGTAAGAGGGCGTATGCACCGATCCTGGGCTCATGATGGGCCTGGCCAGAATCGGTGTATGTGCATAGTTCTCTTTCCTCTAAGTGACAGGCCTGCCCGCTGAGTGGCCCGGCGCCGGCCCGTTCCGCCGCCGATGCCGCGGCCACTGCTGCCGCGGCCGGGGTCTCGTGCCGTCCGCCGTCGCTGTCGTGTCGTCGTCGTGCTCTCTTTGGGGGCTCGGAGCGCCCTGGCCCCGCCGCGGGCCGCCGGCGCCCTCTGGCGGGCACAGGAGCCGCCCGCGGCGGCGGAGGAGGCTCCCCACGCCGCGACCGCGGAGCCGATCGCGACGCCGGCGTGGGACTTCCGCGAGGCGCCCGGGGGCCTCGGGCCCGTGCGCCGTGCCACTCGCAGAGTCTTGTGGCACGACGCGAGACACGCTCGCGTCGTGATAGAAAAATCAAGAGCGTATGTGTTTAGTCGTGCTTGGCCTCTGCGGGGGCCCTCGCCGGGCCCCCGGATCGTCAAAAAACGACTCGGGATGGAAAATCGGTCCCGGGAAACGGGTCGAGCGGGACTTCCAGGGACGGTGTCATTGAAACAATCAGGACGTCGCATGTCTGGGGTCTTGGCAACGAAGATTCCCTTGAGATTTGGATGTTGCAAGTTTTTTCTCACCAGGGTTACGGCCTGGACTCGGGCCCTGGGGCCATCACGGATCAATCCGCCTCGAAAAATGTACCAGAAACATTGGGTCTAGGGCTCCAGGCGCGATTTTTCGCGATGTGGCTATTTTTTGGCCAGGGCCATCAAAAATTGATCCGGGAGGACGACTTGCTGCGAAGTGCAACGAATTCACAGTGTTATGGCTTCTGGGCTGGTGCCGCCGACCCAGAATGGCGACGACGACCACGACAACGACAATGACGAGCTGATGACCTTGCCACCGGCTCGGGACATCGGGCGGGCGGTGGAGGGAGGATGAGCTGCTGCTGCTGCTGCTGCTGCTGCTGCTCACGGCTGTGGGACGCTGAAATCCATATATTCCAATCTCGACTGGAACAACTCGCTTGCCTGCACACTGAAGAGGCACCCGTCTTGGGTAAAACTGGGCCTGAAATTCACCTGTCCGCCGTCCATACCCGCTTGGGTGTTGCTACTTGCCAGGTGCGCACGGCTGCACTGCCCGAAGCTCAATGGCTCCTGGCGCAGAGCGTGCACACATCGAACACGGAAATCACGTCACTCTTCGAACTCCTCGTCCTCACCAGACGACGACAGGGACACGACTCCCTCCAGGTCAGGGCGGAGACCAGCGAAACTGCCCTGCGCTCTCAGGTCCCTCACGACTTCAGCGCATCGATCCAGGCCGAGATCTCGTCCTCTAGGTAGCCGCTCGGCGCCTGGCCCTGCCTGACCTGGGCGCCCATCGCGCCGAACGCCTCCATGATGGTCCGTTCCTTGCCAGCGTCGTCCAGCGAGAAGAACACCTTGATCATCTCGTCGTCCTTGCAGTTCCCGAGCCTGCATAGCCATACCTCCTGCGGTGGGTGGTCCGTGAACTCCGCCTTCATCGCCTCCAGCGCTGTGCGGTTGACCCTGTCCACCTCCTCTGCCGCCAGAGACTCCACCATCGCCGCGAACAGGGCGGGCGCGGGGGGGCCTAAGCCTCTGAGCTCCTTCAGCGTGGCCTCCGCCGCCGCCGTGGCCTCGCGAGCTGCTTGACCGTCTGAGTCCTGGCCCTTATTCGACTGCTCCTTCAGAGTGCTGATCTTCGTCCTCAGCGTGCTGGCGTGCTCCGCGAAGTCCTTCGACTCCTGCTGCATCGCCTTCGCGACTCCTCTCGCCTCCTCGATGAGGATAGTTCGAGTTGCAATCCCCCATAGCGCTCTTGAGCGCTGTGTCAGCTGCGCCACTTGCATACTCATGAGGAGGAGCAGGAGGAGGAGTTCCTTCAGGCCCACGTCCTTGGTGTTGAGCTTGCGCTCCTTTGCTCTGCCCTCCTCCTGCCGCCCCGCCTCACTCTCGGCTTCGTGCCTGAGTCCTCTTGCCCTGGTCCTCCACGTTGGACCCTCGCACCGCTCGAGCCCTTGAGAATATTGCGCTCGCTGTTGTCTTCGTCTTTGGAGTCCTTCCCGCCTGTCTGCGACGCTGCTGAGGAGCCCCCCCGTTGGGGGCGCCACCTCCCTGCCTTCTTCACCTCCATCTTCTCGTAGACTAGCTGGACATTCACGAGGGACGCGAATCTCGAATCTCACTACCGAAGAGGCGATCTCACTACCGCGAAGGCGATGGTCAGCTGCAGGCGGGCCAGATCGCGGGGCTCGGGGCCGCGGTATTGGTGGGGTAGGGCGAGGCTGCACCACAGTAATCGATCTTCCCGACTGCGTGGGCGGGAGGGAGGATGAGGAGGAGGAGGAGAAGGAGGAGGAGGAGGAGGAGGAGGAGGAGGAAGCGGAGGAGGAGGATGCGGAGGAGGAGGAGGGGGAGTGGGAGGGGGAGGAGGAGAAGGAGGAGGAGGAGGACCAGTGCAAAGCCAAGACTCGTCAACGATGTTACACGATGTTGGAATACGCAATCTCGATCCGTTTTTAGGTCCTTTTTGACGGATTCGGCGCGACTTCAGGGGCGCGGGGTAGGGGTGGTTGCGAACAAAAAGTAAACGGACAAAATTGATTGCAATGTGCAAGAATTGGTGACGCGGGATCTGTTGCGCTGGGGCGTTCACCCGACCTGCTTTCTACAATGCGTCCTTTCAGGACGTGGGTTCATATAGCATTGGCTTGCGCCACATCCGGCGACCCATTGAATTCTTCCAGGCGCGCCGGGAGATGCGCGCGCGTCGCTGCCGAGAAAAGGCGGAGAAACGGGCGCTGGGTGGTGGGCGCTGTGGGAGAGGGCAGGAGGCTTGGGGCGGTGGGGGGAGGGGGGGAGGGCCTGGGGTGGGCAACTTCGGCGACGGATTGCAAACGTGCGCGCGCGAGTTTCTCTTGCTCATGTTCTTCCCCCGATCGCACGGGGGCTTTTTTGCAACAGCAATTGGAGAGGCCTTACGGCCGGTGCCGCCGATCCTGAACGACGACGACGACGGAGGCCAACGGAAGAGCATTTTCCACACGCCGACAGGGTCGGTGGATTCGTTGAACCCGTAACGTCCGTGACGGGGGCGGTCGCACCGGCCCCACCCGTCACGGTAACGAACGTACGGGGAGGGGCGGGGGCCGGTCCCCCAACAGTTATGGCGCTGTGCTCACAGGCATGGTGTGGTGCTGACAGGCATCGGGTAGCCTTCAGACGCCTCTAGAGGCGACCGTCGTCGTCGTCGTCGTCGTCGCGTCGTCGTCCTGTTGTCGTCGTCGTCGACGTCGTCGTCGACGTCGTCGTCGTCCTTGGCATCGTCGTCGTCTTCGTGGTGTGGTGATCATCACGTCGTCGTCATCTTCGTCGTCTTTCTCGTCCCCGTCGTCGTCGTCGTCGTCGTTGTCGTCGTTATCGTATTCGTCGTTGTCGTTGTCGTTGTCGCCCTCGTCGTCGTCGTCGTCGTTGTCGTCGTCACCGAGGGCCTCGAAGGGCCTGGCTTCTCGCTCCCGACTTCCAGCCTGTACACGTCGGTGTATTCCAGTGGGCCCGCTCACACTTTGATATGATAAGAACGACTTGCTATTGAGCTGGCCTTGGATAACAATGGATATCTGTGATCGCGAGTCTTCTGGAGCTCGCAAGGCACATGTGGGTATCGCCCCAAGGCGGCTCAGGGGGCCCCTTCGAGCACAAGCTGTTGCCAAGCGGCAGACGAAGCACGCTTGGGTTCACCAGGGGGGTCCCAGAGGCGGGAGGCGAAGGGGACCGCGAACGAGGGAACAAAGAACGAACGACAATACAGGGGCGGCGGTCATGGGGGATCGAGGGGCTGGGGCGTGGGCCAGGGGTGGGCCAGGGGATGGGGACAGGCCAGGAAGGAACAGCCAAAGTGAAGAGCCCTGGCGCCAGTTGGAGCAGTGGGGGCTGGAGACGGCAAGGGGCAGGCCAGGGGAGGGGTGGCCAGGCTACGCCCGAAGAAGAAGACGAAAAACTAAAATGAAAAGGCTCCAGGGACAGGGGGATCGAGGGGGCGGGCCAGTTGGAGCGAAGGGGGCTGGGGCGAGGGCCAGGGGTAGGCCAGGGGAGGGGGCAAAGCCACGAACGAACGAAAGACATAAATAAAGGGCTCTGGTGTCAGGGGAAGCGAGGTGGCTGGGGCAAGGGCCAGGGGTAGGCTAGGGCTGGAGCAGGCCACGAGGGGGCCAAGGGGAGCGAGAGGGCCAGGGCTAGGGTCAGGGGTAGACCGAACGACGAAAATAATAAGGTCTAGGCTCTAGAACACAGCTGCGCAAGAGACGAATAATCTCAAGCTATCCCAAGCTCCGGAGGGACGGGGTAGGCCGGAGAGGCCAGGGGGAGGGGCCAGGAAGCCTGGGAGCCATCTCCGATACAGTCCTCGGGGCACACGCTTGCACGCTCCCCCCCGCAAGCCGGAGGCCACGCCAGGGGGGCCGGATGCCAGGGCTGCAACGCAATCCGAAGCCTTGCAGGAACGCACCCCCAGACATCTCCCACATTCTCTCCAGAGCGCACACTAGCACGCCCTCCAGCAAACATCTCCGACACACTCTCCAGGGTACACTCCAGCACGCCCCCCACGCCCTAGGGAAGGCCACGACGACACGACGACGACAAGAAAAACAACGAAGTGCGAGATCACACTGGTAGGTATGATCATACCATCAACCCTGTCGGCCATGTGTTCTTGGGGTCGGCAATGTGCTTTGCCCCTGGGGAGCCTCCTTGGAAGCCCCCTGGGTCATCCCAGGGCGTCCTGGAACCACCTTGACGGCCAATGCTGTCAGTCTTGGCGACCATCGTTTGCTTTTTTCGTTGGCCGAATCGGACAACACAGCTGGGTCATGTGGGGATTGGTCAGGGGCGTTGTGGGCAATTTTGTAGCCTGGAGGGCCTTGGAGTTGCCCCGACTCCTCCCACGTCAATTCAATGTCGACGCGTCAGCATCTCGAGCCTCGGCATATCAGCGCGTCAGCATACCAGCGCGTGCAAGGAGGCAAGTCAGCGCATCGGCACATCGGCCAACTCATGCTGGCCATGTGGTCCGAAGAGAGGGGGACCGAGCGGACGGGACAGACTTGGCAAGGAGGATATGCAGCATGCTCATCAAGTTGACGCAATGCGTGTTTCCTTCCGCTTGTTTGTTGCTGGCATTCTCGGGTGCGGCCGCGCTGCTCGCCAGGTTGTCATAGCGAACTCCGAGGCTCGCATTGCGCTGTCTTGTTCTGGAATGCGTTGATCAGGGCATATAACTTGTCACCCTTACCTCCCAGAGAAACAATCCATGCTTAGCTTGGCACTGAGAAGATGATTTCTTTGCAGGCCTCCTGCCCAGGCACTAACCACATGGTTCGTGCGGTGTGTATGTGCGTGTGCCAGCTAAGTGATAAAATGTCTTAGTTCGATGAGCGATGTGCCAGACCAATTGACAATACATGCCATCACTTCGCTGATTATCACAAGTAGTGCTCCGCACCCCCCATACTTCTCGACTGTTGAGCATTCGCTGCTCATGTCGTCGTTGCCAGTCGTCCCCTCTCTGGCTTGATTTTGCTACGCGCCCTCACCTCGGAACCCTGCTCGCCGCTTCCTGATTCCTGAGCTCAGAAGCGATGGGGTTGATCGCCCCTTACCACCCCTCCCCCATCTCACTGTGTGAGGAACTCCTCCCCCACTCCGCTGGGTTGGAGCGTCGGGGGAGAAGAGAAACAACACGAATTGTCGTGGTGTGGGGGAAAGCGACATACATGTATCCCACTAGCGTTCCACAAGCGGTCCACGAGAGAAAGGTGTTGGTTCCACGAGGCCTCTGAGTTCCAAATTTGGCTACGAGAGTGCCTCCAGATGGCCACGAAAACATCCAGCAAGGCATATTGGGGACCAGTCATAATTGCCTCTGCACGTTCCAAAGGCCATGGAGCTTTGCAGCTGCATCGTCGGAAGGGCTGCGCCCTCTGCCACCGGCCCTCCAGGCTGAGCCATCTTTGGCCACATCGCAATCGGACAGTTTGCGGGACATATTGGTGGACTGTTTTGCGGCCTCTCGGAGGGAGTTTGACTGCATACCCGCCCCCTTTAACAGACAGTGGAAAGAGAGAGATGCAATGAGGGTGAGAGTACAGAAACAGCGTCAGCTTGAGGGAACGACTTATGACAAGGCTGGCAATACAACAGTCCGACATGAGTCTTCATAGCCTGGAGCCTCCAAGTAGGCTGGTGGATTTGACTCTGCGTTTATGGTGATGATTCTTCTTACCCGTATATGCCTGATGTTATGCATTGGCTGGATGCGCCAGGAAGAGTTGGATGCTCTACTCCAGGACACTGCTCCGTTTTGCACGTGGGCTGTCTCATTCATTGAGCTCTGGCCCGTGAGCGGTACATTGGACCCTGAGCAGCACAGCACGTTGGAAGCATGCGGCCAGGGTCTGCGCTCCGCTGGGTGGGAAACATACAAGCGTGGAGTTCTGTGCGCTTCGCTGGTCCCCACCAGCTCTGCCAGTGATCAGTATGGCGCCTCCCTCTGGTCCAGTCTTGCCTGTTGTGAGGTTGTCGGCGACGGGTTCGGGGGGGGAGAAGTGAGAGGGGACTGGCTTTCTCAGAAGGCTCGGAAGACCTCCAGCCTTCTGAGACATGTTCTTAGCCCTCTCCGCAGACGCAGCAAACTCCTCGGAGTTATGGAAGGCTTCTGAGAAGCCCCGCCGCCCTTTCAGAAGGCCCGCCCCCCTAGGCTCGCCACCGAGATATGAGGAGCGGCAGGTCAGAGGGGCAGCACCAGCAGGAGCGGCAGGAAGAGAAGCTAGAGGAGGGGGCTCGAGCTCGAGCTCAGGCTCAGGCTGGGTCTTGGGCTGGGGCGCGGGCTCGGTATTCATCGCAGCAGGCATGTTTCGGTACTGCGGGTAATTGCTGCCGATGCCGGAAGTGGTGCCTTCTCAGATAGTTGTTCTTATTTTTTTGCGGGATCATGTGGTTGCGTCCTGTCTTCCTGCTCATCCTCCTGGTCCTCATTATCTGGCACTTTGTCCGACTCATGCCCGGCGAGGACGGCGTGGAGACAGTAGTCAAGCTGGCCTTCACGTGGTGCCGGCCTTGCAAGGCAAGCGCGCCGCATGCCCCTCCGGCCGGGATGGGGAGGCGGGTGACGGCGGAGGGCGTGGCAGCGGCCGCTCGACATGTGCGGTGCGCGTCTGGGCCCCGCCGCCAGGCACAGCCCTTGATACAGCGGAGCGCCTGCGGCGCCCGGAGGTGCCCGGGGAGGCCAGCTGCATGCACATGCTTGCCCAGCCGCCCCTTCGCGAGTCGCCCTTCAGAGCTTCGGGTTCACCCCGTTGGGAGGGGGCGGAGCAGCGGGTGAAGGGGGGGGGGAGGCGAGACATGTGACAGCCGCCTGACACCAGCGACCGCGAGCGAGAGGCACTTCTCGAAGAGATCGAAGAGCATTCCACAGGCCAGGTGGCTTCCAGAGGATGCATTGCAGATGCGAGGGCAGAGGAGTGCGGTGGAGGAGAAAAGACCTCGTGCTTAGTTTGCTTATTTTCTGATTGCCTGCTGAGGATTGGCCAAGTGTCACATGAGCCGCACAGTTGAAGCAAGGACTGCGAGTGCAATGAGAGCAGCGTATAACCTAGAGCCTATGCCGGAAGGATGTAAGGGTTGAGCGCGACGAGCTGCCAGGCCATGGGGCCGTTTTGGTTCCATGCTCTCCGAGGGGATTCCAGCATCTTAGAAGGAGTTCTCATTGGCCGGCTGGCCATCGTAGGAGGAGCTTTCGACTTCATGCAGAATCAGGCCAACGATTGGGAGGAGAGGGCGCTTCTGGTAGGGGGGTCGATGGCGACGGCGCGTGCCAGAAGAGAGCACACTTTGCCAGAGAGGGTGCACCAATGAGTAGTGATTCTTCGTCAGTCTTTTTACTTGCTCTCGGAGACCTACCAACAAGCCACATAAACATCAACCCTTCGTCAATTGGACAAAGGTGGACTACGCGCTTCGGGCTTTTTTCCAGCCGTCGCAATGTACGAATTCCCTCCTTGATGGTTCGGTCTTTTTAAAAGTCACATAAACATCAGTGTTCGGAGGTCGCGCGGATTTGCCGTGTCGGTGCTGGACCCCCTTCCCGTGGCACGCGGCGAGGCGCGCCAGGGGGTGTCTGCGCCGCGCGCCGGAGGATTTGGATCCAGCGCCGACCCGAGAAATCTGCGCGGACCTACGACAGTGTCTCTCGTTCCGCCTCATGGTTTATGATGTTCCCGCCGATCTTAGCCTTGCTCACCAGAAACAGTTTTTAGCACCAAGATAGTATCGAATCTGGAGGGTTTTCAAGTGTCGGGCCCTGGGATGCGATACTCGTTCGGCATTTCGGTCGGGCAGACACTGTTTTTGGGTGCTCGAAAATCTCCGTCAGAGCTTCGCCCCCTGCCTCTGGCCCTTTCTCTATCATAGTGGGATATATCAGAGTCGCGTCGGTACGTCTCGGCGCTGCCTTGGCGCATCTGGGAACATCATGCTGGGGCGGATAAGAATCATCAGCGCAAATTGAGACTTTGGCGTTATCGAAGACGGCTACGGCGAACCAACGCCGCCCCCTGTCTTTTGAAGTCACCCATGTGCCCGAGTGTTGTGGCAAGAGCTCTGCCAAGCTATCGGGCCATGTGTTCCCCCAGCCGTTGTAGTAACCCTTCGGGGAACACTTGGGCGAGGATGGCGGGGAAGATCAGGAGGAGGAGGAGGATGAGGAGGAGGAGGAAGAGGAGGAGGAGGGGAGCATCTTGGGAGCCTCTGAGGGCACTCTTAGGGCATCCTGGGAGCTTCCTGGGAAGCTTTTGGAGGCATCTTAGGGTCTCCTTGGGCCTCTTGGGGGCCTTTGGAGGCTTCTCGGGGGCCTCTCCGGTTGTCTTAGGGCATTCCTGGCCCGTCTGACGCCGTCGGAAGCCGTCTTGGGGGCCTCTTTGGGCCGACTTGGGGCCCTCTTGGGGTGCTCCAGGGCCGTCTTGGAGGCCGTCTTGGCGTTTTCGATCTTGGGCCGTCTTGGGGCCCTCCTGGGGCCGTCTTCGTGGCCTCTTGGGCCGGGGCCCTCTTGGGGGCCTCTGCGGCCGTCTTGGAGACCTCTTGGGGTCTCTTGGGCCGTCTTGGGCCATCTTCGAGCCATATTGGGCAGTCTTGTGGGCCTCCTGGTCCGTCGGACGCCGTCGGAAGCCGTCTTAAGGGCCTCTCTGGGCCGACTTGTGGCCCTCTTGGGGTGCTCCAGGGCCGTCTTGGAGGCCATCTTGGGCGTCTTCGAGGCCTCGTGGGCCGTCTTGGAGCCCTCCTGGAGCCATCTTCGGGACCTCTTGGGCCGTTTTGGGGCCGTCCTGGAAACCTCTGGGAAGATCTTGGGACGATCTTTGGGGGCTCGGCCGTCTCGGGCCGTCGGAAGGCCGAACATAAGCAAACGCTGAAGTCCTTCAAAAACCATGCAAAATCAATGATATTGGCCTTTTCGGGCCTTCCTGGAGGACCTTGGAGGCCTCTTGGAGACCTCTTGGGGGCCTCTTGGGCCGTCTTGGGCCATCGTGAGGCCATCTTGGACCATGTTGGAGACCTCTTGGGCGGACTTGGAGGCATCTTGGACCCTCTTGGGCCGTCTTGGAAGCCATCTCAGACCATCTTGGGCGAGCTTAGAGGCCGTCTCGGCCATCTCAGCCGTCTTAGAAGCCATCTTGGGCCATCTTGGAGCGAGAACGGCATTGACAAGAGCATTTTCAGCGCCCTTGCGGGTGACCGGCGGGACGGGCCGAAGCCCCAGCGGAGAGTTCTTCGGGAGAAAGAGCCAAAACCAAAACGGGTAGGGTCTACGTAGTACGCCGGGCACACCTGTGGCAAGACCAAAGGGCGTGACGGATCCCTAGTGGTCTTCGGCCCATCCCGTCACCGTGCCTGAGTTGTGGGTCTGAGGCATCTTGTATGTGTGTTGGGGTGCCGTGGGGAGCCCCAATCTTGGAGGGGCGCCTCCTGGGGGCGGGCCTCCCGGGGCCTCGTGGGGCCTCCTGGGGGCTTCTCGGGGCACAAATATCGAATGTTCGGTTCGTGGTCCTTTGCTTGGGCCCCTCTTGGGGTCGTCTTGGGGCCCTCTTGGGCCGTCTTGAGCACTTCTTGGGCCATCTTGGAGCCCTCTCGGGCCGTCTTGGGGCCCTCTTGGAGGCGTCTTGGGCTGTCTTGGGGCTGTCGTGGGAGCTTCTTGAGCCGTCTTGGAGCGTCGGAAAGCCGAACATGCGAGAAGACCAACATCTTTCGAAAACCTTAGTAACATCTACGATTTGGGCCTCTTGGGGCCATTCCAGGAGGCCTCTTGGAGCGCTCTTGGGGCCTCTTTGGGCCCTCTTGGGCCGTCTTGGAACCATCTTCGGGCGCCTTGGAGCACTCTTGCCCTTGGCAATGCGAATATGGCCTAATTTGCATAGGTTTATGGCTTCGGGGACGCGAACACAGTGTAATGTACGAAGGTGTGTTGCCTCGGGGACGCAAGAATTGTATAATTTACTAGGGTTTGTGGCCTCGGGGCCGCGAGTCTCACATATTATCGTGTCCCGCGCCCCCGCAGGAATTCAGACAACGCGATTCGGGCGTGGTGACCAGGCCGCTTTTCGGCTCCCCCCCCTTGCGGGGATTTCAACGAATTGCAGTAGGAAGCAGACCGTAGAACTATCACAATGGAAACCGGAACTGGAGTAGGGAGCAGCAAGCCTAAGCCTCCCAGGTAGATGGCCCCGCAAGGGGGGTGGCGGATTTCTGGAAGATTGTGGTCTTTCAGTACGATGTGGACAATATATCTATCGGTCCAATAGAGTCGTTCGGTCTCCTCGCTTAGTTGTAGGTTTGGTCCCCCATTTCTGCGCAGGCTTTCTGGCCGCGGTTTCAGAAGTACGCCAAGATCTACAGCAACACCCGTTTCGTCAAGATTGTGGGTCGGCCGCACCAGTCTTGTCTCTGCCCTTCCCCGCCATGTGGCGCACGTAGCGTGATATGAGAAGAGCAAGTCGAGCGGGGCTAGGACGAGGATAAATCCGTTCCAGTGCGTTCGGGAACGCTCTCAGAGCGTTCTCGGACGCTTTCAGAAGGCCAGGCGACCGAGACATCCTCCACAGCCGTCGGATCTCGGAGATTCTCGATGCATCCTCACCCGATTTTACCCTCGTGCTGGCTTCGCCCTGAGCAAGCAGAGCGCGGGAGGGGAATTTTGGATTGGCTCCTCGCTGAAGCATACGGCTTGTCGAGACTAAACGGCGCTGCAGCTAGCAGAACATTAGTCAGACTAAAAAAATCTGCACGGGCACCACGGGCGGAGGGAGGGAGCGGGCAGGAGGTGGCAGTGGCGGGGCGGGATGTCGAGGACAAAATGGGCGGGAGGAGGAGGAGGTCATGCCGTCGTTGTCGTCGGCGTCGGCGTCGGCGTCGTCCGCGAGCCTCCGCGGCCAGCCGCGGCAGCAGGCGGATGGCGGCCGGCCTCCGCGGGGAGGAGGAGTTACTTGAACTACGGCCATCGCGTAGCGACAATCAGACATGATGGGCCCGTTTTCCACCACCACCACCACCACCATACGTTGGAGGGGGGAAGGAGGTGGAGGACGAGGAGGAGGAGGAGGAGGAGGTGGAGGTGGAGGAGGAGGAGGACCCCCTCCCCCTCCAACGCATGGTGGTGGTGGTGGAAGACAAGCCCATCAAGACATCGTCTGCGAAAGCTCAGAGGAGGAAAATGCTCGGCGGACGAGGAACGGTGTAGAATAAACTTTCCCGCTGTCAGTGACGCCTGTCGACTGGAAAATTACACCCCCACCTGTCACTGTTGGAGCATAAACTTTCCAGCCGCCCTGGGACAGGCGTCCCCGACGGCGGAAATTTTTATGTCATACCGTTCTTCCCCCCCTAGGACGTACCATACCGCTACCCTTCGCCCTTTTTGCTATTTTTGATGGCTTCCTGGGAGGCCCTCGTCGACACCGCTGGATTCGCCCCGAAGTTCTGGTCAGATTGCGCCCCGGCAGAGGGCCAGGAAGTGACGGCATCGGCACCTGCTGGTATCCCCCCAAACACCCTCGTACTCAAGCGAGTGAGGACGAAGGGCTCGAGGAGGAGCGGGAGGAAGAGGGCGACCAGAAAGGGAGAAGGAGCAGTTGCTATGACTTCACGCAAGCTTTGTGCAGACAGGCTTCTGTGTTCTGCCTTCGGTGACGACCTCCCGTGTGGAGGTAATTACCGTGTTGGGAAGGCGGGCGCATTCGACGCATTATGTGCTCATCTGGCTGCAGTGGTGTGACCCAGGACCCGACATAATCTCAAGCGACTGCTTTGTTGCCCGGTATGCCCGCGTGATGTGCTCAAAGGCCGTTGCCTTTGTCGGTTTTGCATCCGAGCGTTGCCATCTCTCCTGCTCGCGGGCACGCAAATTCTTTCCACGCTGTCTTTACCACAGGCAACGAGAATGATTCTTGCAAGCACTACGCGAGGGACGTATTGAAGGCCTTGACGCCGAGTTATGTTCTCTTCGAGCTTCACGTGTCGCGTCAATTCATCGCTCCTGCTTCTCCGCTCACAACACTACATTGGAGTGCACGAGCCATGCGTGCCAGAAGGTGCTGCCGTGACATATTCCTCTTGACGTCAATACAGTTAGGGAGTTGTTAATTGTATTGCAAGCGCTTCAACTGAGAAGTGCGTTTGTGTGTGCCAGTTTGTCTGTGTGTGCCTGCGCGTGCGTGCCTGCCTGTGCGCGTGCGTGTGTGCGGCGGCGCGTGGAAACCCGAGTCGGATCGAGGTGTGCAACTTACAAGCGTCGTTTGCATGCCGTGGTACTTCAATCAACGTGCTATAACATACCACTCGCAGCCAGCACCATCATCATCATCAGCAGCAGCAGCAGCATCACCACCACCACCACCACCACCATCATCATCATCATCATCATCATCATCATCATCATCATCATCATCATCATCATCATCATCGTCATCATCGCCAGCATCAGCATCATCACCATCACCATCACAACCATCATCACCATCATCAGCATCATCAGCATCACATTAATCTTTATAGTTGTCGCGTGCCGCTTTGGGCGAGCACTCTTAGGCCTGGTTTGCCTTGTAAGCCCCGGTAACCGGTAGGCCGCTGGTGACCGGTATGCCTCACAGAGCCAGTAACCGGCAAACGCAGATAATAATTTGTTTCGGTTTCTTCGTTGTTTTGTTTGCCCCCCCCCTGGGCTGACTCTCACAGCAGTGCCGCTTGTATTCATTTTCTCCTTTTCTCGGCCCCTGGGCCGTGGTCTCGGTGTCGGACCTTGGTTCGTTTCCTCGCGTTCTCGGCCCCTGGGCCGTGGTCTCGGTGTCTCGGACCCTGGTTCGTTTTCTCGGTTTCTCGGCCCTTGGGCCGTGGTCTCGGTGTCTCGGGCCTTGGTTCGTTTTCTCGGTTTCTCGGTCCGTGGGCCGTGGTCTCGGTGTCTGGGACCCTGGTTCGGTTTCTCGGTTTCTTGGTTTCTTGGCCCCTGGGCCGTGGTCTCGGTGTCTCGGACCCTGGTTCGTTTTCTCGTTTTCTCGGCCCCTGGGCCGTGGTCTCGGTGTCTCGGGCCTTGGTTCGTTTTCTCGTTTTCCAGTTTTCTCTGATCTTTGGGCCGTGGTCTCGGTGTTTCGCACCGAACCAATCCAATCTCATTTCTCGACTAGCAGGGGCAACGTTTAGGTGGATAGGCTCAGAGGGGGTGCGTCGACCCCCAATCGCCAAATGATCGCCGATAGGGGCCTTTAGCCTACACCGCCCAGGAACGTGCGGTTTCGCCATCGGGGGCCTATCGCCGATCTATCGGCAATGCATCGCCAATTTCAGGTCGACGTTTCCCCTCCTGAGCCGGCTCCCCAGTGGCCTTCGGCTCACGTGTCAGGATGATCCGGGCATTCCTTGAACGCTCTCGGCGAGGCGCAGTCGCCGCAGCCTTTTTTCGGCGGCCTTGGCCTTTTTTCTGCGGCTTTGTTTTTTTTCGGCGGGTTTCGTTTTGGTTTCGTTTTTTTCTGCGGGTTCGGGTTGGTTTCGGCAAACGCGTGCCAGTTCGATGATGCATAATACGTTAATGTCTCGCCCGGCCCGACCCGCCCGTTTGGGCACGCGCGTGCCAGTTCGATGACGCGTCATACTTCAATGTTCCGCCCACCCGACTCGACCCGCCCGCGAGGGTCCGCCCGCCCGCCCCGACCCACCCGACCCGCCCGTTAGGACCGCCCGTCACAGACCGCCCGCCCGACCGGGCCCGCCCGTTCGGTCCAACGCTTGCCAGCCCGACGGCGCATCGCATTTTATTGTCCCGCCCGCTCAGCCCGACCCGCCCATTAGGCTCCGCCCGGCCCGTCCCGACCCGCCCGCCCGATCTGGCCTGCACACGCGTGCCAAGTCTACGATGCAACATACTTCAATGTCCCGCCCGCCCGACATCCACAGGGGCCCCCGTCCCCTTTATCCACAGAAGGGCACCGGGAAGGGGAGGGGAGGCCGTCAGGACCCCGGAGAGGGCAGCAATCTGACCCGGGACCCCCCCCCCGAAACCCCGACCCGACCCCCTCCCTTCGTCAGAGAGGGAAAAATGGACGGGAATCGATCCAACTAAGACGTTCTTTCCATTCGCTCCATCCCCAATTTCCTTAGGCATGGCCACGACGACGACGGACGACGACGACGACAGCCTTTTCATATTCGGCCCTCTGCCCCTATCCTCGAGCAGCGGCTCGCGAGGCGAAGATCTCCCCGATGTTCGCCGTTTACAGACAAGGCCAGCCGCATCTTGCCGTTCGGTTTGGCGCCGGCAGAGGATGCGAGCGCCATCCTGCGTGGGCAGTCGACAGCTGAGGACCGTAAGTCGGCGCCGGGCCCCAGGGGGGAGTGAGAGGGTCGGGAGCCCTGAGACGGGGGTCAATGCAGACGGGGGTCAGCCAGGGCGCCAGATCCTGCAGGATCCTGCGAAGACCCCCTCTGGCTGACCCGGGTTAGTTAGGGAGCCGCTCGTGGCCGCGAGGCGGCCGCGCCTATTGGTTGACCCGGGTTTGCGAAGATCTGCGTTGCAGTTCTTTTTTCCTGCATTGCAGTTTTTGGACCCGGGTCTGGGTTGACCCGGGTCAGAAGATCCCCGAGAGGGGGCGGTCCTCTTCAGAAGATCAACAGACCGCCAGCCTTGTGATAGCGCTCTGGGCCCTCGCAGAAGACAAAAGCGGTTCTTCGGAAGGCCGAAAGGTTGCCAGGAAGCCCCCCAGTCTTTTCACAAGGCCTGCCCCCTCTCACTTCTTCCCAGGGCGCGCCACCAAGTACGGGAGGAGGAGGTGGGAGGCGAGGTAAGCTCGAAGAAGGAAAAGCTACTCAAACAGCTCAGCAGAAGCCTTCGGACCTTCGCGCGCGTGTCTTGGATCGACGCTGGACCTCTCTCCGCACACCCTTGGACTTCGCCTCGCGCCCTGCCCCCAGGCCTGGCGCTCTCCGCGCGTCCGGGAACGGGTGTGGGGAGTGAGGTCGAGCGCCGACCCATGAAATCATTGCGGACTTTGTAAGTTTATGTGTATGTGCGTCGTTGCTGGTACCTCTGCGGACTGTCAACGTCAACAGAATTGAGCCCTGACGCTTGTGTTGCAATGGTCGTCCTCTGGAGGCTGTTTTGAGACTCCAGCGGATAGGCTGAGTGGTTGGCAGAGCAACGTTGTTCCTGTACCATGTGTTATAAGAGCGTTCTCCAGCATGCCGGCGAACGCCAAAGCGCACCTCGTCCTGGAGCCACGACAAGGAAACATGTAAGGACGACAGAGTGGGGTAGAGACAGTCCAGTCGTTGTGGGGACTCCTGGGGGTCTCGTTGGGGGCCTCTTGGAGGCTTCTTGAAGGCCTCTGAGGGTCCTTTGGGGCCTCGTTGGGGCCTTTTTGGGGGCGTCTTGGGGCGTAATGGGGCGTTCTTGCTCCGTTTGGCCCCTTTGGAGCCCGTCATAGGCGCTTCTCGGGGCCATCTTGGGGTTTGCTTGGGGTCCTTTTGGGCTGCCTCCAGGGCCTGTTGGGCCGTCTTGTGGGCCTCTCTTGGGGAAGCTTGGGGCGTTCTTAGGCTGTCTTGGGGCCTTCTTGGGCCGTATGGGGGTCACGTCTTGGAGACTTCTTGGACCGTCATGGGCCGCCGAGAGTCCAAACTTGCGAGAACGCCAGAAACCTTCAACAGCTTATGGAACATCAATGTTGTTGGCTTCTGGAGGCCTTCGTGGGCGTTTGCGTGGCCCTCTTGGAGCCGCAGCGTAGGCGTTTTGGATCGATCCTTAGACGACTCGTGGCCCGCTTGGACCGTACAGGAGGCCTTTTAGGGCCTTTCTGGTTCGTTTTGGGGCGCTCTGTCCACCCGTGGCGCATTCGACTGGGCCCCAGGTTCCCCCCAACTCGACCTGACTGAACTCCTGGGAGAGGGTCTGGGGAGGGGGAAGCATCGCACATGCCGATGAACACCAAGGGGTCGGCGGATTGCACTCTCCGCCCTCCCTCTTTACCTTCCCGCTCCCGCTCCCGCTCTCCTTCCCGTTCTGCCCCTACTATCGTTTTCCACGCGTCCTGGTATAGTTTCTCTCTGCACATGTTCCCACTCTCTTCGCTGCAGTGTTCTTGCCCTCCCAGGCTGTCCCCATGTGTGGTATGCATCCTTCACGCCGCTGTGTAATTATCCCTTTGACGTTTTAGCCGTGGTCGAGCGTCGATGGCGATGCGAGCAATGCAGAACGAGCGCGAGAAAAGAAGGGCGGCCGCTGGACGCCAGGGGCTACGCCCAGGGTCCAGGGTGGGTTCTCCCGCCCGCGATTGTTCAACCCAAGCACCCGATGGCTCGTTTTTGTTCAGTAAGGGGTCTCCAGAAGTCCCGACCCTTTCCCCAGGGCGAGTTTTTCATCCCGTGTTGACGGTCCTGGGGCCCAGCGAAGGACTCCGGAGGCTGGAAACAGCCAAAAATTGACCGTCGCAAGTTGGCCCCCGCCTTCGCTGACAGGCGAGTTGGTTGCCACGTGGAACGGGGCGAACAATGGGCGGTTCATCGAGAAAATCGAGGAACACCTCGCCAGCGCCAG